GTAATTATTACATAGCCGTAATTAGCATATAGCAGTAATTAGCATATAGCAGTAATTATTACATAGCAGTAATTAGCATATAGCAGTAATTATTATATAGCATTAATTAGCATATAGCAGTAATTATATCGCATTAATTAGCATGTAGCGTTAATTAGCATATAGTATTAATTAGCATGTAGCATTAATTAGCGTATAGTATTAATTAGTATATAGTATTATTTATCAAGAAGGAGTGGCATCCACTTCCGTAATAGCTTGCCTCCGGAAACCCTATGAACGTGGAGAGAGGATGAAAGACCACACAAGCGTCGAGGACTCTCCTTCATAGGGTTGCTATGAGTCACCTGCGACTCAACAGCACTTAACAACAACATTATTATTTACTATAGTATATATTATATTAACTCTTGTTATTGTATAATACAACTTAAATAATAACAACTTTTTTGATAGAAGCGCAGCCTAACACACACACACACACACAGTCAAATTAACTGAAAGCGTCTCACTGCTGTTGAGTTAGGGCACACTCAGAGCTGACCCTCTGGTGGGTTTCCACGGCTGGCAATCACTTGGGAGAAAACTGTTCATCTTTCCTGCATAAAGCCACCAATTCAGAATTACCAGGGCAGTTCCCTACACACTGTGCCACCAGGTGTCCCTAACTGCAATTACAGTGTTTGTCTGTAAACAGCCATTTATTTGGATGAACTCCTAAATTCTTTTTACTCCCCGCGCATTTCCACATTTTTGGTGCAAAGAAAGGAAGTAACTTTTACTTAGGTTCAATCTGTCCACATCATTCCATCTTGGGCTGTATTTTAAAAACGATCTCAAACCACAGCGCTAAGAGAATCTAAAACTTAGACCAAAACCCTAAAAAAAAAAAGTGCAAGTACATTTTTAAAAGATTTTTTAAAAACTTAGAACAAAAGTACTGCCTTAAGTCTGCTTAAAAACCAAGCAAACAAAAAAAAAATTTAAAAAAAACAAGCAAACCAAGCAATACTTAAGCTTCACTAGTGAAAGATGTTTCTTTTAATTACAATTTATTTTTTATATTCATGTTTTTTCTGTGATACTAAAAAACTTTTAGTAAAAAAGGAGTTCAATGGCATTGACTCTATCAATCTCCTATAAACAGATACTAATTAGACAGTAAGACCGTATTTTTTTTACACTGGTTTACCTACAAAATTTGTATACATTTCCCTTCACACTGGATCCCCCCACTTCCCCAACCCACTCCCTCTCCACCCATCAAATCATGAGATCCCATGATTAACCCCCACCCCCCCCAGGTCCTCATAGACATTTCACTAGTTATCTATTTTTACAGTGTTTGTCTGAGTTGGGACTGAGTTAGTTCACTTAGCATAATACTTTCCAGTCTCTCTCAGGTTTGTGAATTTACAAAATCATTGCTCCTCTGTGCTGTGTAGGATTCCATCACATGAATGTACCATAATTTCTCAATCCATTCGATTGTGGTTGGACATTTGGGCTGTTTCCATGTTCTGGAATTGGCGATGATTTTAATCGGTTTTTTTTTTCACTGTTGCACATTTTTCTTCCCCCCTCCCCCATATCCCACCCCCCAGTGCATCCTTTTTTGTAGATTATTGTCATCCAAGAAGGATGTCAGTTTAAAGACTAAGGTGCGTCTGACGGAAGCCATGGCCCATGGTCGTTCCAATTACTTCCTAGGCATCTGAAAGCTGGACAATACGTACGGCAGAAGTCGTGATGCCTTTGAGTTGTGGTGTTGGAGAAGAGTACTGACTATCTCGTGGATGGCCAAAAAAACCCCAAACAGATCTGCCTTGGAGAAAGTGCAACCAGAGCGCTCCTTAGCGTCAAGGACGCTGACACGTAGTCTCACATACTTTGGGCTTGTTGTCAGAAGGGCCAGTCCTTCGAAGGGAACATCATGCTGAGAAAGGCAGAGGGGTAGGGAAAGAGAGGAAGACCTCTGACAAGATGAACTAACAGAGTGCCTGTAACAAAGGCTTGAGCATTCCAGACACAACAAGAATCGTAAAGAAGAGAGCGTGCTTCAGACCTGTTGTTCACAGGCTCTCTGTACCGAACAACAACAAAGAGAAGGGCGTCTGTCCTCTAGCACTGCAATCTTCACAGATCCATCTACATGGGATCAAACGGATAATCCCAATTCTGTAGATTGGACAGGAACTTTAGGGGGCAGGAGCTCGTGTTAACAGAGGCGGGAAAACTCGGAAGACGAGTATGAGAATGGCTGACCACCTCGATTGTCAATTTACCAGATTGTACACGCAGAAATGGGAGCTGTCATCGTATTTCTTGTTCTTTATGTTTTCCCCAGCAAAATCAGGTCTCTGAGGCTGTAAATCTGAAGAGGAGGAGACTGTAATTCTTCCGAGACAAGCTTTTATTACATAAGTTAGGAGGTGCAGGTGTACGCTGTCCTGCAGGGTGCTATGAATTGGAATAGACTCAACAACACTGGGTCTGTTGTTTTGTTTTCAATCATCAAGAATTTTAAGGCTAACGAAATGTCACACCTACAACAAAAAGAGTAAACGAAGAAGAGATGTGAACATCTTTCTCAATAGTGACATGTTTAGCACTAAACGAAATCTGTTGTTGTTTTTGTTGTTGACTGCCATAGAGTTGAGCACGACTCGTAGCAACCGTATGTAATTACCGTCATTTATCAAAGTTCATAGAGTTTCCAGGGGCGTGTGGTTTGGGAAGTGGGTGCCCCTCCTGCTTCCAAAAATGAAATCTTCTCTTTCACAATCGGGCAATAGGTGGGGCCTTCCAAAGCAATTGTAAAAAGAGCAAAGATGATGGAAAAAAGGGTTTATGTTTCCCACATGATCAATGAAACTCAGCACCAGAAAATACTGTTGTTGTTGCAGGGGCCAGAGTCTGTTCCCTTGCAAACCCACCAGCGACTGCAGGAGGAAGCGGAGGCTGCCTGTGATTGCAAAGACTTTCAGCCTTGGAAACCTTGTCCGACAGGGTCGCTCTGCGTTGGAGTGGATTCGAGGGCAACAGGTCTTCTGTATATCTCTCTCTCATTGCCTTCAGGTCATCTTTTTTTTTTATTAATCTTAATAGACATTTACAGAAGTTTCGGATTTCCATTAATTCATTGCCGCACTTTTCTCCCTGCCCACCCCTCCCCACCAGTTTGCTCCCTTCTCCAAAAAAATTTAAAAAAAAAATTCCTTCATTAGTATACAATTCCCCCATCCCTTCCCCTCCAACCCCCACCCCAAGTACACTTCTCTATGCAACCTTAATTCTGGATTCCTGTGCTAACCATAATACTCAATCATGTATCACCTCATGCATCCGTTAGATTTCAGAGGCTGTAAATCTCACAGGAGGCGACTGCCCATCTTTCTCCCATGGGTGGATCTGAACTGCCACAGAAACATGGCCTTGGGGTCAGCGGCACAACCCGCTGAAGACTCCTCCACCAGAGTTCTCCAGCTCTATATTCACTAACATGTAAACAATGCTTATGGAGACAGTATATACACTGTCAAAAGACTGAAGACTAACTTACTTTAACCACTTAGGACAGTCAACACTCTTGGCACCAGTAGCCAGGAAATTAAAAGACATATTGTAAAAAAAAAAAAAAGACATATTAGGATGGGAAAGTCTGCTGTTAGGGACCTCTCCAAAGTACTGAAGAGCAATGGTGTCTCTCTGGAGACTAAGGTGTGTCTGATATAGGCCATGGTCTTTGCAATCACTTGTTATGCATCAAAGAGCTGGACAATGACTAGGGAGGATAGAAGGAGAGTTGGTGCCTTTGGGCTGTGGTGCTGGAGAAGAGTACTGAATGTACCATAGACTGCTAGGACAACAGATTCATCCTGGAGAGGGTTACACTGGACTGCTCCTTGGAGGCAAGGATTCTGAGGCTCCGTCTGACATACTTTGGACATGTTGTAAGGAGGGGACAGGCCCTTGGAGAGAGACATCATGCTTGGGAGGGTGGAGGGACAGTGCAGGAGGGGAAGGCCCTCTATGAGGTGGATTGATTCAGTGACTTGGGCAATCGGAGTGTGGGTGTCAGAGACAGTGAAATTGGCACAGGATAGAGCAGAGTTTAGGGCTGTTGTCCAGAGGGTCTATGAGTCACAAGCGACTTGATGGCACATAACAACAACATAGCTAATGGGCCCCTCAAAAATATAAATTCTAACCTCTAACCTCTATAATTGGGATTCTAATACTATTTGCCAATGGTTTATGTTAATGAGACATTATTATCACCTTAGGTGTGCTTTAAATCAATTTCCTTTGAGATGATGATGTTGTTGTTGTTAGGTGTGATGAAGTTCACAACACTCACAGTGGCCCTGTCAACCACAGATGTGCATTCCACCCTGTCCTGTGCCATGCACACTGTCTCTAATATGCTCAAGCCTGCTGTTACAGTCACTTTGCCATCTGTTACGTGTGAAAAACAGATCTGCATTCTGCCCTGTCCCGTGCCATCGACATTTGTCTCCAACACACTCAAGCCCGCTGTTCCAGTTACCATGTCACCCCTTACCTCCCCCACACCTTTCTCCATCCACTGCTCATGAAGCCTTTCCCTGACCAACCTGAGACGCGAGGTTACCTGCGACATGGCCATGCCAGAGACCTCTCTGTTTCTTCTTCCTCCTGGCTTCATCCTCACGCAAGATCAGTCTTGAGAAGGTGATGCTGAGTGGGGGGAAAGTCAGCTGTTAGAGGCTGAGAAGAAAATACAGTCCCGTCCTGTGCTAGGGACGCCCGCAGGAGGACCTCACCATGGGGAAAGGTGGCAGCTCCTGCTGCCCGCTGTGCGAGGAGGGGCTGGGGGACAACAGCCTCCTACACAGAGACCCACAGGGGAGTTCATCAACCTCCCCGCTGGGGAGGCGACCCTCTCAGCGGCTGGGATGCAGGAGCCCTGGTGTCCTCACAGGAACTGGTCCAGCACTGACAGTGTTGGGGATAGGGACTGTTGCCCCTTGTGAAGTTACTGGAGGTCAGACGCAACCTTTTTTAATCTCTTTTTACAGTGCCTTTAAGAACACAGAGCTCGCTTCAACGATTTAGATCCTCCCAGAAGAGCTGTGGGTGAGCATTAACATTACTAGTAAGTATATTCGTTTTTTTCCTGGACACAAGAGCCTACTATCTGGTCCTAAAAGCCTTCTGAGGTCCTAACTCTTCGCACTATTTCTTAGTCGTTGGAATTGACGGAAAACCTCATAAGCAGTTCCTTACTTCACCTCTGCCTTGCATGCGGACTTCTGAGTTGTAAAACAACCCAGTGGTAGATGGAATTTGCTCCAGGACTTAAGAACAATAAATGACATAGTTGAACCTCAAAAAAAAAAGAACACAGAGCTAAGGAAAGAAGGGCATTTACAGGGTCCAGGAGTGGGACTGAGAGTCCTAGGGAGAACCACCACTTGTGTGAAGGTCCTGAGGAAGCAGTGTCCCCACCTGAGACAGGAGAGGGGGCCTCAGGACTGCAGCAGGTGGAGGAGAAGGCCAAGGGGAGACAGGGTCAGGGACAGGCTCAGGGAGTCCAGAGGAAGCAGTCCAGGAAGAATGCAGAGCCTTCAACCCCTTCCTCCCACTCCCCATAATTATTCTGGAAATCACATATTTCCTCACATATCTAACTGTATACCATAATTTACCACTGAAGCTGTCCCCCAGAGTGTTATGTAAAAACTTACTGAGAAGTTCATGCACAGGCCAGAGGCTGCAGGACTCGCGAACACATTCACTGACGCTCAGGGGTCATTTCTGATCGTGTTCAGATGGAGACGCCGTGAGAGACCCCGGCAGAGACGCAGAGGAGTCGGCTGGACCCATGAGGCTGGTCCTCAGGGCAGAGCTCAGGCTAAAGGGGTGGACACGGAAATATGCGTGTGTCATCTGCATGCTTAACACTGTCTAAGATTTTTTAATTGGATTATAAAGGCACCAATCAATACATCACGATGTAGGAATCTGTATTCCAGCAACTGCCCGCTCCTGTGGCTCTGTCTCTTTCTGCAAGACAGTGCCCTTCTCTCACTCCTGTCTTATCTTCCTTCTCTTGTGTCTGTCTGGGTTCCTGTTCCTTCATCCTCCTGAGGTTTTTCCTCATTTCCTCCCTCTTCTTTCAAATTCACACTTTCTCCTCAGTCCTTCTCCTCCAGTTCAGCCTCTCCTACGGCCTGCTTCACCTCTGCTACATTTTTTATTCCCCATGATTACTCTCATCTCATATATCTCTTCCCCTGTCTACCTGTGCTGCCTCTCCACTCCCTGATACACCTCTCTTGTCCTGCTCTCTGACAATCACAGCCTCCCTTCCTCACTCCTGTTTCTCCCCGATGTCCATTTATGTCATCACCCCTTGCACCCGGCTGATCCTGTACCAGGCTGTCACTCCTGTCCACTGTGATGTCAACTCCTCCATCTTGTCCCTCCCCCGCCCATTTGATGTCCCTGTCATCACACCTTGCACCGGGCTGATCCTGAACCAGGTCACTCCTGTCCACTGTGATGTCAACTCTTCCATCCTGCCCCTCCCCCGCCCATCTGATGTCTCTGTCATCACCCCTTGCACTCCGTTGATCCTGTACCAGGCTGTCACTCCTGTTACTGTGATGTCAAGTCTTCCCTTCTGCCCCGCCTCCACTCCTACGGCTAAGGGCCTCTCTATTTTGCTCCCTTTTACTCTTCATCCTTTCTTCCAGATTTCTTAGTCTTTCTCTTTGCAAGTCCCTCTGCAGTCTCTGTTTTGCCCTCTTCAAAATGTGCCTCTCCTTGGTCTTCTCTATTTCTCCGGGGCTGGCTGTCTTTCCTAGATCTCCTCTTCCATACACGCACAGGGATGGAAAGACATGCCTGCTGTCCAGGGAAGGGCATATTTCCCACCAGATGAGATGGGGGGGACTGATGAACACGACATGTCATAGGACAGACCCCGATCCTCCGTCCCCGTTGGGGATCAGAGAGGAAGGGGAGGCCGGAGGGACGGCGTGAAGACGAGGTCTCTCGGGACAGAGGTGGGGTACCAGGATTCCAGGGCCGGGGCTGCCCCTTAACAGCGGGGATCCGAGTTACCCTCAATGGGCCCCCGTGGGGGGAAGGGCAGGAAGGCCACAAATCGATCAGAGAGGGAAGACTTGACAGCAGCAGCGCAGGCAGGGGTCATGGAAGGGCAGACAAGGAGGGCAGCCTCTGCAATGGCCCCAGGGCAGGGAGGACAGGCCTGATCCACCCCAGGATGATTTTATAAGGACTATGACACGGATGTCTGTCCCCCCCCCGGGCGGCGGAATCCGAGGGGGCCGGGACGTCTCGCGGGACTTCCGGGGACGGGAGGGGCGGACGCAGGGATTCTGACGTCCACGGTCATCCAAGAGCCCCTGGTCTGTAGGACCAGGGCGGTGACGCGCGGATTTAAACCAGAAAGACGGAAACTCACCCCACTGTGAATTTCACCCGGCGCAACCCGCTTCCGCGTCGGCGACAAACTGCGCAGGCGCGGCGGCGAGAGGCGACGTGGCGGCGTGAGGGCGGGGCCTGAGCGACGCACAGGCGGTGGGCGGGGCCAGGAGCTGGCCAGGCTATATAAGGGCTGGGCGAGGGGGTGCCCCCTTGCTCCAGAGCTGGTTAACTTAGTCGTTGCGTGTCAGTTTCTTTCCTCGGCTGCTTTCGGCCTTTTTTAAAAACTCATGCTTACAGCAGTTTCGAGTGCAAGCTTAGTGGTATGGGGAACGCTTGTATAGGAAAATTCCGATGTTTTCTTTTTCTCGAGTTGAAAACATTTTTAGGCAGAAACTTGTTTTGCAAGCTGGTGAGGCGAGTCCTAGCTTACATTAAATTCTAGAAATTGATCTCTAGTGATTTTTTAGGGGGTGAAGGGTTGCTTTTGCTTTTTTAATAAAATGTTAACTTTTTAAAATTTTTTATTTTATCATTTGTGTATATGAACTGTCAAATCGGATCTGACTGGTACAGGAGGAGATTGCCCCTCCTTCTCCGGCAGAGATTCTGGTGGATTTAAACTGCATATCTCTGGGATTGCAGTGCAGCTTCTTGCCACTAGGCCACCAGAGCTCCCCTAAAATTTAAAAAATTTTAAAAAAAAATCCAAACCCTTAACAACAAAATTGTGTTACTGTCAAGTCAGTTCTAATAGTGACACTTACCCCATACTCGACCCACTAATCTTTAGAGAAGCTGATTTCCATGTTTTTCTCCAAAGGAGCAACTAGTAGGTTTGAACTACCAACCTTTTGATTAGTACCTAAGAGCTTAACCTGAGCTCTTTGCCCACCTCATTAAACACAAAAATTATACATCTTTGAATGAAGGCACATAAATGTTATGTAGCAAGTTTGTGTCCAAAAGTTAGGCATCAACGAATAAGAATACATATTGTAGAGAAACCATGGAACTAGAATGAAAATTAAAAGGCCATTTAATAAAATACTGGGGTCATGAGAAAGGCGTGACAAATGCAATGAGCCTAACAAGTTGTTTAAACAGTAGTCTGACCTCACCTTTCACTAATACTAGAGAGAATAAATTTCTGTTAATACTATCCAATTCTGGTATCAGCCGCACTGAGAATCTTAAAACACGATATTCTGGATTTCTCCCTCCCATACTTTCTTGGTTATTATTTAT